AAATGAAGAAGATCCTGCCATCAGTCCTATAGTTTACATGAAGTACCAGGTCATGCTGCTCTGAACAACTGCTAAGGCATGTACACAAAATCAAATCTTTTGAAAAGACGTTCAAATTCGTAAATGTTAAAAAGAAAAAATCCTTGGATCAGCAGATCATAATCATCTGTGGCACCACTTACCAGGCTAAAATCTAAACTATGCAACATGTGACTAAAAAGCATGTGGCTTTCCCAGCGCTATCACACTGGTGGGGTACTTGGCAGTATATACCCAACAAGTCAGGCAACCACACAGATTACTTCATTCCTATTCTGCAGAAGACAATACCAAACACATCAAAAGAGATCAGATTATGATTTATATCCTAAGACACAAGGTTTTTATTAATAAAACTGTTTCCTCAGAGTTAAGTTCCATTAACTGTACTTAAGAGAGAATTACTACACATCTTGCTCCCAGGCAAAACCTGACCATTCCACATGTGTTACAAATCAGTATCTCTTTACATTTATTGGTGTGCAGACGAAAGTCAAAGGATTTCTTTTCAGATTCTGGCAAGTCAGGAATCTTTCATGTTTGAGAAATCACATTGCTATCAATCTATTTCTATCTTAAACTTATGAATTGTCATACCAAATAACCAATAGATACATTTTTATATTAATCACATTTCTCCATCTTGAAGTAAGAAGTTTAGGTGGCATCATGTTTAGGGAAGAGAACTGTGAGATACAAGATACTGTAAGGAAGACTTTAAAGTCCTTTCCATTCTGCATGAGGTTTCCCCCCTTCTTCCCCCTGCATATTTTTTTAATCTCGAAAGTATTTCCTACTAATGCATGAAACCCCCATTACGCTGCATATGGTTTCTATTATCAAGTCTATAATGCTTTCAGGAATTTCTTTGATTTCTCTGGTTTTTACCTCATTCTTTTCATTCCTGATTGACACAGAAGCAGCAACCCAAGTCATTCCTGTGTATCTTTCTTTAGTTAGAAATCAGTCTCCATACTTCTCTGGTGTACCTCAAAATGGCTTGCCTTTACTACCCTTGTATGAATAAAGGAAAGGCCTTGAATATTGGTTATTATACTCTTCATTATGTATATGAAGATCATCCAGTGTTCTTATTTGAAGAACTAGATTTTACCCATTAAATTTACATTGCAGCCATGGACACTACACTTAAACCTGTGCACCTAATTCAAGACCTGGGATTTGTGCACAAACGTGTACAAAAAACTGCAGAATACTCTTCATAGGGATAGGACCAAAAAAAAAAAAAAATACCCAAACAAAAGCCCTCCAAAATTCTTGTTTTCAAAACCAGTAAATTAGTGCAAGATCAGCTTTCATGGCAGATTTCCAAATAATTGCTAACTCAATGGTAGCTGAGTGTCTAAAAATGTAACCACACAGAATTCACCCAAGATTTCATGGGAAGGCCTGTTTCTACCCTGCAACCAGCTTTTTGTTCCTGCCCTGCTCGGTGCGTGCCATTGGGTCATGGGTGGGTGCCGGCACAAGGGAAGAATTTACCATTGTTCAGATGGAAGCCGTTGTGTTCTGCTGAAGGACTTTATGGTTCACTGCATGGTCCAAAGCTACCAGTGGAACACAGCACAAACAGAAGCAGCTTCACTTGGAAAATACAATTTATTCCACAGACCTGATTTTGAAACACAAATACTTGAGGACTGGAGACAGCTCTAGACATGGCTCAGAAACTGTGGAGGTTTCATACTCTGTAGTCATAGGGTAAGGTATGCACCAAAGACATTCCATTCTGAAATAAATCAACCTTGTATCACAGTGTTGCTTCAGAGGGTGTTACATCTCAAATGCAAGGATGTATGGAAGGGGGGGGGGGGTGGGGAGAGAAAAAAATTTCACTGGATCATTGCTTCAGGCAATAACTTGAACAGTGATTTTACCATTTTTACCATTTTCATGTTGATTTTAACTGGATATGATGCCCTCAGAGGTCCAAATGAACAGAAAAAAACTGCTGCATGATTGCATTTTGGCAGCTACGTACAACTTCCCTGTATTACACAATCAGCTATTTCATACATGAAGTATATACAAGAATAGACAGAGCCACCATGAATTTCCCAACATTTTGTGTTTATTCTGACCACAGATCAGAGTTGGTGCTCCCTGGCTAAACTGAAACAGCCGGACAAAAAAAAATATCCACTGCATACAATCCACTAGCAAGGGAGATCACAAAACAAAGCTTCTCCCTCAAATGAAGTTCTGTGAGACAATGAGTCGACAGCAAGTGTGAAAACCTTCGGCCATGTCCTTGATTCTTTTTACTCCCTCACCCCTAAATGTTGCCTAGAATTCTCAGGAACATCCTGAATACAAAAGGATTGTGTGGGACAAGGTATCTCCCCTGGAGAGAGCAATAGCAGCAGATGCTGCATCGTCCTTCAGCATGGCACTCCCACTCCAGACTCTCCCTGGCTTAATGGGGAACATCTACACAGGAAAAAAGCCCTCAGTGTTTGAAGCTTGGCCACCAGTTTAGGTGGTGCCTGGCAAGCATCTGGCAAGCAGAAAGGGGACATTTAGACATATTTTAGGGCTCTGATGGCTTCTTCAGAAGAGATCTTAATTGGAAACACTGGAAATATCAAGTAATTGCTATGCAAGGAGCCTTGGGGTATATGTTTTCTAGTGAATGTTCATCACCCTCGAGGGGAAGCAATAAAATCCAGTGCCATTGCCTGTTTAGCAGCCCACTGGCAATATTCTTTTGTCAGCTTTAACTCCAGCCTGACTGACACACCAGTTGTCTTCTGTTCAGAAACTGTCATTAGCTTAAAAAATCATATATTTCAAACAGGCTTAAGCATGCTCCCTCTAAAGAGAGATATATACCCCAATTTTGGACAAGAGTTGGGAAAGAAGAGCGGCGAAGAAGGAACAGGCACCAACGCCAGCATCGAGACGCAACAATTCGAACAAAAGAGATCTCAAGATGTCGCACTAACACGCACGCACACAATCTTCCTCCTGATAGATTGCTTCCCCTCGGCAGAGGGAGATGCTCCAGGAGAGCGCCCGCCCGGGCACGCAGAGCACGCGTGTGTCTGCCAGACGGACACGGCAGGGAGCGCGTCCCTGCGCCGTGCCTGCTCCGCTGCGCTTCCTACTGCGGCACGTCCGCGCCACCCGCCTCGCCTTTCCCTCAAAGCGACCCACGGACGACCCCGGGCTGCTGCACAGAGACCCCCTGCCCCCGTCTCCTGCCCCCCAAGGCCGCTGAGAGGAGCGGGGGCGGGTGCTGGAGCCCGGAGCGGGGAGCTCTGGGGGCACCCGCAGGCGCTCGCCTGCCGCCCACCGAATCCCGCTGCGGGCGGGGAGGGTGCGGGCAGCACGGCGGCCTTTTCCCCTTCCTAAATGCCAAATTTTGTGTGGGTGAGGTGAGGGGGGGCAGGGGTCCGCTCCGCCATCGCGCACAGTAACAGACGCCAAAGCTAAGCCTGGCGCAGCGAGAGGAAAGAAGGGTGCCGGGATACCGGGGGTCACCCCGAGGAACCAGGCCGGGGCTGGCGGAGGGCGGGCGGGGGCAGCGCCCGGGGTCGCGGCGCAGCGCGGAGCCTTTGTTCCGCCGCCGGCCCCATCCGCGCCGCCGCCTCCGCGCATGCGTCGGGCGCAGACAAAGGCGCGGGCAGGGCGGCGGGGGCTTCCCGCATCCCTCCTCCACTCCGCATCCCTCCTCCACTCCTCATCGCCCTCCGCCCCGCATCCCCCCTCCACTCCGCACCTTCCCGTCACCCCGCATCCCCCCCCGCCCCGCATCCCCCCGCGGGGCGCCCACCGGCGTGGCAGGAGGGTGGGGGTGTCCCGGGGGTGTGCGTGGGGCCGCCTCCCTCTTCCCCGCCCGAGCTGCCACGCCCAGCTGAGGCGCGGGGAAAGCGCCCTGCGGGAGCCGCGTTTGAAAGACACGCGTGTGCGTGGGGAAGGGGAGACACGGCGGGTCGGGAGGGGAAGGAATAATAAAAAAAAAGAGGTCGAGGGGAGCTGTAGCTTTCTGCGGTGGAGGGAAAACGGAAAGCCAGAGGGTTGATGGGGACCTGTGGGGAGCGGGGGCGGCAGTCGGTGAATATTCATAGAACAGGCGCACCGGGGCGGCAGCGGCGGTCCCTGTCGTGTTTGACGGCGGGTCCGCAGCCCCTGCTCGGGCAGCCGAGCCCCCGAGCCCGGCGTGTGCTGCCCCGCCGGGAGCAGCGCTCCAAACCCGCCGGCGCGTCCACGCGCACGCGTGACCGCGGAGACAGCGCCGCTCCCGCGCCGCCTCGCCGGGGACAATCGCGTTGTCGCCGGCCACAATGGGCAAGCGCCGCTTCCCGCTCCTCGCCCGCCCCGACGCCCCCTGCACCCCGCGGATCCCCCCCACCAGCCGCCCGGACCCCGCGGTCCCCCTGCAGCACCGCCGCCCCCCGCCCAGCCGCCCTGCCATCTTCCTGGCGCCGTGCGTGCTCTTCTCCCAGCGCTTCCTTTCATGGAGAGCTTGGGGGCATCTTCCTTTTTTTCCTTTTTCTTTTTTTTTTCTTTTTTTTTTCTTTTTTTTTTAAATTATTGTTAATTAAGCAGACTCCCTTTGGAAACAGGCTAAAAGCACCGAAAATAAATTGGGCATAAACCAGTATTATTCCCACCACACCCACCGCTACCCCCACCCTTCCCCATGAGAGCCTTCCCGGGCATTTAAATCTCACGGAATCGCCTTTGGTCCGTTGTCTGCCTCGATCCCGCTCCCAGTTGGTCCCCTCTCGAGGAATCGAGCTCCTCGCAGCGATATTCCTGAAATGTGCCCGAGCAGGCGCCTCCCGGGCTGCTCCGCTCTTTCTGCTCTTACCAATTCACACGCTCGTCTCCTCTCCCCACAATCGAGACACAACGGAAGGGGGAAAATGATAAAAATGGCAAGGCTTTCGCGGGCTGCTGTGTGAATGGCATAAGTGAGACACACCGCGTCTTACCTTTATGTGTCTTTCCTCTGTCCCTGTCGGTGTGTTTGTGTGCTGGAGTGTCACAACGAGAGTCCCAGGTAGCCCAGAGCCCCCTCGCCTCGCTCGGAGCGCTGTGGCTCTCGCCCGCTCGCTCGCTGGGACTGGAGTGCCTAGTGCCTGCTGGAGCACTGCCGCCGCTACCGCGGCTGCTGCCTCTGCATTTCTCACTCTCTCCCCCTCCCTCTTTCCCTCCCTCCCCCCTTCCCTGTGACAGTCTGTGGGCAGTTCAAAAGCCACACGCTTTATTTATTTATTTTCCAGGCTGGCGGGCGGGGGATGCGCTGCGCGGCGCTCGCGCTTAGGGGGCGCACGGACCCCAGGTTTAAATATCAGCCGTGCAGGCTGCGGGGGGGGGGCTGGACCGCGGCTCCGCGAACGCACCTTGCAGCATTACACCCCCACACCCCTCAAAAAAAAAAAAAAAAAGGGAAGGGAGCGGCCAACCTCCCTGCCCCGAGGAGAGCGGGCGCGGCGCGGCGAGGTGCGGGGCGCTCCGCGGCCCTCCGCACCCGAACCGCAGCGGGGGCGACTGTGCACCATGGGGCGGACCGTCCGACCCCGGCGGAGCTGGGATGCTGCGCGGCGGAGCGAGCGGGCACGCCGGGCCGCCTGCCTACACCTGCAGCCCGCTCGGGGAGAGGGAAAGCCGCTTGCACGGCGGAGAGGGGCGGCACGGGCGGAGGAGACTAAAAATCCCCGGTCCTGGATGCTCTTGGTACGCTTAAGGAGAGGGTCTGCCGGTTAAACACAAAAGGCAGCAAAATAGAGGAAAGCAACACATTTCTCAGGAGAATGGATCTCTCCCGGGCGCTCCTGCAGCTGAAGAGCTGGCCTGAACGTCGCTGGGGCTTCAGGACTGGTATCGCTCCAGATCTCCCCTTGTTCCAAAGCATCCCTGAGGCCGCCACAGCCCCACGGAGGGTGCTGCCCGCACTTTCCCACCGCCCTCGTTTTACAGCCTGGCTGTGGCGGGGGCCGGGTGCGCCCTGCTCGTTGCTCCGCGCCCGCTGCACGCTGCGGGAGCCCGGCGGCGGCGGGCGATGCGCGGGGCTGGGGCGCCCTCTGCTCCCCGAGCGGCGGCCGGGCCGGGCTGGGCTGGGCTGGGCTGGGCTGGGCTGGGCTGGGCCGGGCCGGGCGCTGCCTCCGCAGGGTGACCGGCCCCGGGACCCGCAGCCCGGGAAGGACGGAGCTGCTGGGAACAGACCGCGGTGGCGGCACGTCTTGGGGAAACTCTGGCTCAAGGGGCGCGGTCCGGCTGCGCCGGAGCTTCAAAGCCAGCAGCACCATCTTTCAGCAAGAACAATGGAAGCTGTTTCCCATTTATCTGGGCACAAGGACCGAGTGAGAGATGCGTAGTACGCTCGTGATAAGGTTAAGTCCGGTTTGCATTTTCGATGGATACGGATCGAAAGGGGAGCAGGGCATGTGGAGAGGGAGGGCGTGGCCGCCAGGGTGTTTTTCTGATGGCCGTGGTGTGCGGTGTGGTGTGCGGTGTCACGCTTCCCGGACATTCCCACGAAGAAAAACTATCGGGCAATAAAATGCATTTGAGTTTGTGTTTCACACACCGCACCCTGCAACCTGTAGCTGTGCCGAGCATCCATCCACCCAGCCGCTGCCGGGGCGGGGAGCTGGTCCGAAACGCCAGAGGAGAGGCTCAGGGACGACCTGGCAGCGCTGCGGGAGCCCCCGCTGTCCCACCGCGGTCACACAAAAGCCCTGGGCGTGAAGGGAGGAAAGGAGAAGCATGGACACGGCGGGTTCACCGGGCAGGGACAATTTCTTATATTTTCGTGAAAGCGTTCGCAAGCCAGTCTTTTCCTCATGTTTTTATTTTATGGGGTTTTATTTTCCTAGTTCTGCTTCGTGTCTCCACGTTTTCCTGGCGGTTTAACCCTCGCTCTGCAGCCGCCGGGGCGCACAGCTCTCCATGCCACACCTGCCCAAATGCAGCATCCCACCTTCCCGAGGCGCGGTGCGGACTGGCTGCGCCCTGCCGCAGCTGGGGGAGGGAGGGAGGGAGAGAGGGAGGGCAGGCAGGACCCTTCCCCCCGCGGCCCCGGCCCCGATATCTGTGCGCTCACGATAACGGGCTCGGGGGGGCGGCTGCACGGCACGGGTGAGGCATGCGGCAGTCAGCGTTAAATTGGGTAATCGAGGAAAGAGAAGAAAGGGAGGAGGACACGCCCTGACACGTCGGAGGAGGAGGTAGCTGCTCCCCACGGAGGCGAGGCGCGTCTCGCCCCCGCGCTGCCTCTGCGCAGCCCGCGGGAGCGGGGTCCGCCCGCCCGCTTTCCCGGGAGCATCCCTGTAGAGCCCGGCGGTGGCGTGCTGCAAGGTCAAGGGAGAAAATCCCTCTCCTCAGTTTTATTTCTGAGCCAGGAGTATTTGTGAGGCAGGGTTGGCGAGAAGTGAGAGGCAAGATGGGTCCAAAATCTAGCCATGGGGTAAAGCAGAGGAGTGCAGAACACAGCAGCATGACCGTAGAACGGCTCCGTGAGGGGCTGAGGGCCTGGGCTGGGCTGAAATCAGTCCTGGACCGTGGGCAGGGCTCAGAAGGAGCCCCAGGTTATGCTGAGTCGGGACGAACTGCTTATGAGGCCATGACTGTCGAGATTGTCTTGTAAAATTGCCCAACCACCACACAGTGTGAAGCAATATTAGAGGGGAAGAAAGCGGCTGTTATTTAAGCTTGTGTTTAAACATGGGCTTAGGCAATGAATGCTCACCTACATGAAATCGAGCACTATCAGACTTTGTAACTGAATTACAACTTACACAGGGTTCACAATATATCTCAGAAATAAAAGTGTGTTCTGTGTCATTTGCTTGGAAAAGCGTGTGCAACTAAAAACAGCACAGAAATAGTCATTGCTACTATCAGTTTGTGAGGGGTTTTTATAATTTTGTTCTTTTCAGTAACTAGAGGGCTGAGATAGTAACCATAGTTTGCCAGCTCGTATTCTTGTAAATACACCTACATGCTAAATTATATATCTCAGGACAGCCAAATTCAAAATTTGTCGAATGCTCATTTCAGTTACTCAGCTGCATCAAGGTAAGATACATATCTGAATGTCTTGTTTAATAAAAGTGATACTTTTAGGCAAATGGGTATTCTAAACAGCCTTTGTCTTAATTAAGGGTGTGTAAGATATCCTCTCCTTTTTCTTCTGAAATGAAAAAAGGTATCTGGAGGAAGAAAAAGTGCAGAACAGAGACACCTGCAAAAAGATGAATAACCAGGTCTGTTGTGGAAAGGCAAGTCTAGGCCCTTTTGTGTAATCAACAGCTGCTTTTCTGAAATCTACACTGACACTCTGCTTTGACAAATACCCAAGCTACCTGCGTTTTCTTAGCCAGCTCTTCCTGTCACCTCTTGCCACTTACTGTACCGCAGTGTTCTTCCCTCCAGCTTCAACGTTTCAGGCCCAGCCTTGTTCAGCCCTGTCCCTCTTATGGGTGTCACTTGCTGTCATATTTCCATCTTTTCCAGAAGGAAATAAATTCAATCCTAAGTACTCTTTCCTCATATTTAATTTTTATTGTTTGTTCCTCTGATTAATAAATCAAGTCTTTGTTCTGTGATTATATTAGGTCTGACAAGAGTCACAAGCCATGTCTCCTAGCCCAGCATGTCCACAACACAAGTCCAAAATACTCACAAGCCCACCTTCCATCTCCTTCCACCTCTCTGCCTGTATCCCTGTCATCCACAATTCCATTTTTGTGTCTGATCACTCTGGACTTTTTCCTCAGAAGAAGCTAGGATCAATAAGGAGTACCTATGCTGGGGTAGCAGGGGAGCTTTCCATTTTATTCCATAGGAAGAGAGAGATGACCAGCAAACAAGGGAAAAACAAACCAAAAACAAGTAAAAACCCTCACCTGTGCCCCTCTTTCAGCCTTGCAAATGAAACACTGCCTTCCTCGCACTTACAATCACAACAAAACAGAAGCAAATCCAGGCTTCTCGCAGCTCAGAGGGCTTCCCAAACGTGCCAGATCCGGCTGCAGCTGCAGGAGCAGCCGGCCCCCCCGGTCTCCAGCTGCTGCCCTGGGCTCTCCTATTCCCGAGTTTACGCCACGAGAGGGAGCATTTTGTTCAGTTTTTTGGCAGATCCTGGTGTTCCCGGTATCCAGGCGAAGAGAACAGCCGCAGTTTCCCGTATGTAGTGATTTTCCCAAGCCGCGTTTACCCCATAAGCATTTTCGCAATAATGGGTTTTTTTCTTTCACCATGCTATGCAAATTTTAAGTGTTTCTTAAGATTATTATTAATGTAAAGTAAATTTTATCATTAATATCTGAACTGTAATTACAGTTAAATTTCCTGTTCTTCTCTTGGTTATAGTCATTTCTTCTGGGGCAAATGCAAGATGCTGGTGTAAGACATATCTAAAATTTTCTATATCTGCAGTGGATATCATCTCCTCTCCTATATAACTATGAGCTACATGAATTTCAAAAATTAACCACAATGGCATAGGCAGACACAAGGTATTATTTCCGAAATTTGCAGGCAAAGCACATAAAATAAAGAGCTTTGATCAAATCCCAAAATAACAACTTTGATAAATCACTACTGGAACACCTCAATCCAAATTTAAGTCCTGACATAGAGACAGCTGCAAGCTTCTGATAACAATTTTAATCTGGACAATCCAAAATCATATGGTAGTAGGTGTATCTGAGTCTAGTTTTACAAGACTGGTTCTGTTTATGCCATAAGTGGCACTTTTTGCCTATAGCCAGGTAGGGATATGTGGGTTGTGAACCCTGCTTTACCCCAACGTTTCTGGCTTCAGCTCAATCTGTAACACAAAGCATATGTGCCTCCCAGGAGGTCCTGCACTAGCCATCGATTTTAAAAGGCTTCTCTGCTCCACTGAAGTCTGCGTGCGAGTTTTGCCAAAGATGGATATATTTGCTGTTCTGACAATACAATTATCTGGGTTATTTCTGTCTCTTACTCCACTCACTGTAAAGAGTTAGAGTTACTTATGTGCAAAAAGAAGCAAATGTGTTCAACTACCATGAGCTTCCCTTATGATTTATTCATGCCAGGCTTCTCCATGACCATCTACAGGTTAGATCTCAGACTCTGCTCCATTTTCACTGGCAAGTTTCACTGAAGAAATAGCTGAATAAGGTATTCATTGTT